AGAACCAGGCTCAGGGAGGGGCGGCCATCTGCTGCGACCGGTTGGGGTGAGAGAAGGAAGACAGGATAAAAGACGTGCTGTGGATGGATTTCTTGCTTTTGTTGCTAGAGCTGCACAATTGCACATGGCCACCAACCTCTAAGGGTGTTTTTAGTCATCTGGCCTCTGGTTGTGCAGCGTCTTTGGGTCCTCTGGGTTATTAGGAGAATTCTTGTTTCTTGTTCTGGTGCTTGTTTAGTTTAAATCTTGGAATTTGGGAGCAAAGTAAAAATTCTGGACTTTGTGTCAAGTTGTTCTTATGCACTTTTGGTGGTGAGGTACAGCACATTTTGTGCCTGGTCTGAAATTGTGTTTAGATGGGCTATGGAATGAAGCCAACAGCTACAAAAATACCAGGGCTCAGAGTGTCCCAGCAAAGCATTTTATTCTGATAAAATGTTGAAAAGCTTTTGTTACCGGTCACTGGTTTTGATATCTTGGCTGCTGAGTGTATAATCTATATAAAATGATACAGCTGCCAACATATGCACAATGTTTGGGCAACATTATATTATAGTTACATATGTCTACATTTTGTCCAGCCTGAGAAAAAGTTCAGGAAGTACAAACATTTTCTTTTGAGTGACTGAATGAGACACAAAGAAATACCCAACATGATTATAACATTATCTAATTGCATCCCAACACATGAATTATTCAGCTCCTGACAATGCAATATTGTCATGGAAAGGAAGAGATGTTTGTGTTAAGCTGCCACTGGCACTACTTTTTACCCTCTCTTCTTACAAAACAAAAACTTTTTTCCAAGGGCATCATTGCAAAGCGATAATAAAAGGAAGAAAAATGAATAAAATAAAGGGCAATCATTTTGAAGCCTGCAACACCACTGTGTGTTTGTGTGTGTGTGTAATTCATATTGTTCTTGTTAGGCAATTATCATTTTTACAATGCCAAGGATGACCATTAGTCTGTAAGGGAGCGTTCCTTGCCCTTGTCACTCTGAGAATGACTGGCCCCACACGTCTTACTCTGTACTAAAGCCACCTTCACCTCTTGCCTGATATGTGGTCTACCAGTGGTCAGCTTGAGAACAGCTGATTGGCTTGTCCAGCCATAGATATTCCAACTCAAGCAGCACTGGTGTCCTGCTGTATGATGAAATACTATAGCTAACTTTGACCACAGAGAATGTTCCTGCATACTTGTATTATAATAATAAAAAACGTTAGAAAGATCAAAAGGAGTGAAATGATATTCTCTACTTAAACAATGTGCAATCAAATAAGAATTAATGGCAAATGCCTTTAGTTTTGTTTTTGCAATTCACATCCATCCATCCACTCGACATTTTCACGTGGTATCATTTTTAAAATTGAATGTGCCAAAGCAAAACTAAATAAATAAATTGTGTAACTGTGCAAATAGCTACAGTTTGTTGCAATGGTTTAGTTAAGAATATGTCAAATGGCGTGCTTGAATACTTAAGCAATTATATACATTAAAAGGTTTAATTCATGCTCTGAGGCAAATATGTAGCAAGAAGATTTTACTGAAAAGGGGGATTTACTTAATGATGTCTCCCTCAACTAGAAAGCAAAGAGGGCGGTGCTCTTTACTACCATATGCCAGACACACAGACAGGCAGGTCGACAGTTATGAAGACAGATGAATGATGCAACGCCTTCAGCACTGAGGGAAATGAGATCAGATGTTGACAGCTAGATCGACAGATCCCTGGTCTGGCATTCAAATGTTTTCTCACATCTCCTATTGCACGGTTCATGAATGGATACACTCTACAAGATAAGACATACTGTAACTGGCCTGTCTGTAAATAAATGCTTTGCTTTTTTCCCTTTGCTCTATTTTTATACATGCTGTATAATATACCTGAGTTTAGCATATGTGCAGTACAGCAGGTTGCCTAAGATAAACGCTTCACAAGCAATAATCTTCCTGAAGACCTGAAGTCTTTGGTGTCAGCCGCCATGTTAAAAAACTGCATCGTGTAGGCCTATTTCATAATTCATGTACAACTCAGCCAGCATTTATAAATAAGTTCTAAGGTGCTGAAGCCTGTGAGAGACTATAACACATATTAATCGACCTCCAGAATTGTCAAAGGTGTTTCTTCTCTCATCTTTCATTCTCATTTACTTTGTTTTATTTGCAGTATAGCAAAGGCCCCTCTCTCTTGATGATTCTTACAGCATTTTAAAATACAAATAGACATGATATAAATAACCCAATATAAACAAAATCTAGTCTGTCATGGGAGAGCAGTCCTATGCGACAATCTGCCCGAGGCCATCATCAGAATACCATACACCTAACAGCAGAAGCGAACCAGTAGGTGGCAGTGGCGTCCCATTTGCAAGATACACATGGGAGGAATCTGTCTGTCTCTGCACTTAAGCTAAATCACTCTCTCTCATTCTCTCTCTCTTTCTTCCTCTCTGTCGCTTGCTTGCTCGCTCGCCTGCTGGCTGTTTTCTGCCACGCACGCACACACTAATAAACAACTATTTGTGTTTGTTTCCCCCTTTTTTAAACTGACCAGTGAATAAAAGGGGCAATGGTAAAGAATCGGTTAATGAATGCCAGTCTTCAGGACGACATGGACGCACACGGTGAAATTTTAGAAGCTGTAGAAGTTCAAAGAGAGCACCATGAAGACTGAAAGAGAGGGAAAACAATATCTCCTGCCCTCGCTGCTCCAGTCCTGCGGTTGACGGCAGAGTCGATCCACCAGCAGTGACTGGCGGAACAGTCTCAGTTGGAGAAAGCAGCTTGTCAGTGGGAGGTAACCTATATGATGGCCCCTCCTGAACTTATCAATTCATCGTCCGTCCGTGCGTTTTATTTTGGTACGAAAATGCTGAGCGCACTGAGGCACTGTAAAGCGCACCGATGCATACTGCCTGATTGCGCGTCTTGGAACGGGTTATATTGTGAAGCAGCCTAATACGCACGGCAGTCTACAAGAGAGAGGGGGGAAGCCTGGACTTGGACAACCACCCATTTGTGGATAATAACCCTAAAAAAAAAACATTAAATAAAAAAAACCTTACCCCGGTGTGTGTGTCACATCAATGGAGAGGCGAGGGTCGAATATCCGAAATATACAGCGGGGGCGCAGAAGTGATGACAGCCTTTGATGAACCATAACTCCCGTCCAGACAAGGTGAGATCAAAGCTCCGTTCGGAAAACATGTAAGAATAGCGCTTTTGGTGTATAACGAAGGCTCTTCACACTTGGGAGCCGCTGCCTGAATTTGTGATGGGGTTTTAAAGGCTTCTGAAGGATACCGCCTGGAATTTTTTCTTCCGATGCTGCATCCCAGAATAACGAATTTCCCTCTTAAATATGGAGAACGGAGCAATCTGAAGAGAGAGATTATCTCTAATCGTGACAACTTTATCACTTCTCCAACCTACAGGATACCCTTTCAATCACTGTACTGCGGAACTTCTTTTTATCGGTAAAACCAGGAGGGGGAAGAGAAATAAGCATCTTGAAATCCGCACTGGGTTGTGCGGTGAAATTTAATCAGGGCTGATAGCTAAGAAGCAATAGGGACTTGATGAAAAGTTACATTTGACACGTAGGCGAGCAGTCGGGTTCTTAAAATAACCCCACCTTCACAGCTCAACGTATGGATGATGGTCTACCGTAAGGTCTACATGAAAGGCTTTAAGAGCATATTATTGATATCAAAGAGAAAATAAAAAGTCGTCACTTGGAGAAAATCTTGGACCACAGTGGGCATCGCTTTGCCACGAGTTGTTTCAACAATGGCACTTGTGGGTGCCTTCTGAAATGTGCGTCTTGAAAAGGGAGGAAATATCGGATGCATTATCATCACTGTGAGAGTTAATTGCATTGCATCCGGACTAATGTTTGGATTACATACAAAGTCGTGTTGAGACGTGGAAGAAAATGAGTGTGAAAAGGAAAGGTAACAAAGGATTTTCCAAAACTGCCTGAGTATTGCGGATTTTTTTTTTCGATGCAGTTTTTGCGGAGGCAGCGGAAGAAGAGCTGTTCTTCGCCGGCGGAGATCTTCCAGACCTTGGCATTTCTCTGTAAATAAGTAAGTTATTGTTTATAATGTACTGGGAGGGAGAGCATATTTCTAAATGTCTTACTATTCTCTATAGTATAACTATCCTATTCAGCCCTTTCGCTCCGTTGGATGTCAAAATACGGAAGTTTATCTTCGCTGTTTGATGATTGATATGTACAAAATCAGCACGCAGCGCTCCCGAGGTTTTGCCATTCACTTTACTTATACTGCGACCTCTAACGAAGAGATATTTAATTGTGGGGTGATTCAGAGCATAATGGAATGACGCGCGCTTTCGCATTGGTGTGCTTGTTTTAACTGCGCGTCTTCGAGTGCGCAGTATCAAGATTAGATGTCTTAAACTGTTAAAAGAAAAAGAGAGAGACCGATTTGAGCCTCTAAATTAAACAGGTAAAGAGGAATCTTTGTGAGGTGAAGTGCACTTAAAGCATCTGATTTTGGTTTTTCACACTGTAACGTGACTAAACGGGGACACGCCACCTGCAATCCCTACACCCGCCTATCAATCCATCCAGTCTGTACTTCTGTGCGCTCAACCTACTTTCAGTATAGGAAAGTCTGCCATATTTTAGCACGTGTTCTTGTACGCTACAGCAACCGCGAAAAATACTTAACATCAGCCAAAACATGTTCAAGTTAAATTTGAAAATCCAAGCTTTGGATGACCTAGCTGACGATTGATTAATGACCAAATATTGTGTTTTCTTCCTCTCCACCCTCCCCCTTCTTTTCTCGGGGTCCCTTACACAAAAAGCACTTGTTCACCGCCCTCTGTGGTAGCCGGAGAGGGAGCTGTCCTTTCTCCTAGTGCTGAAATTAAAAGTGGCGGCAGTCACTCATCCTCTACTCAACTGGAAAAGGCATAGATGTTGTAGATAATGGCTCAAAAATCACAGCCACTAAACAGGCTGAAGAATATCATTGATTGTGTGCAACTAAGCAACAGATGTGATATTGGAGAAGTTCATAGCATTTCATGTGGCACAACATGTTTTGTAAATCATTTTGCAGTCTGACTCATTTTACCTGCTCCTCAAATTAAAGATTAAACATTTTATTAAAGTATCAACCCCAGCACATATACACACACCACACCCACAGCTCATAAAATATGCATATAAGTACACGAAGTGCCACTGGTTTTGTGTTATGTTGGTGGTGGGCTTAAAAATAGATGTTTGTCAAGAAGGTGACAAACCAGTGTTGGTGGTAAAAGCATAAATAGAGGTGGCTGTCACTCTTGAGACAAAGAATAAATTGCATCTCTCACCTGTGAAAGTGAGAAACATGGCAGACATTATTCACCCACTTGAAAGGAAAGCCCTCCATATGATGGAGTGGCATCACCTTGGGGAGACAAATTAGACTGCTGATTTTATGTTTTTGCCCTGTCAGAGGCTTATGCAAGATAAATCCCCCCTACATTTTTCCCAAGTTTGCTGATGTTTGTTGGCAGCTGGTACAGAGTGATTCATAGTAATAAGCAGAGAGACTCTTCCTCCTCCCTATTTAACACTACTCAAACCTTTTTTTCATCCCCGTGGAGATTTTCTTGGAGAGGGAAGTGGGTTGTAGCTATGGGTTGTAAGGATCCAGCCAAAATAAGGAGCAAATGGGTTTGAAACTGACTGATTCACTGGGCCACTCTGGATTAGTGCTTGTTTATTTCACTACACTAGATGGACAACAACTGTATCTCCAGTGTGTCCCTATTAGTCCTTCTAAGCAGTAGGAAATAGCTTTAGAGCAGGTGCAACTCAGGGACCAAGTGGGACTTTCCGCTGCTCACACAAATCCAGTCTTCGGCTGATGATGTCTCTACCATAGACATCTGTTTTATGTCCAATTTCTCTAGCCATTGTTGTCTGACTTATCTATTGAAAATCATTCCAAGCAGCCGCGTCAGAAAATTAATGAACTTGTCATCTGGGAAAGGGCACCATTGCAATAAGGTGCCAGGGTCTTGCAAAGCGACAGGCTGTATACCCATGTTCCCTCCCCACACTCCCTTTGTCATTTTCCCCCTCCTCAGCTTGTGACTCAGTTCAGATCAAGGCCATCACTGTGTGCCTTATAATAAAATGTTCATTTTTCAAATCGGATTAATCTCTGTAAAGCCTGGCTTAGGACACCATTAGCATTCATTTCTTTCACTGCCGGGGACTTGTATCAATAATGGAACTACCCCTACATTTTTCATATTCTCTGGGTATAAAATCTCTCAGGGGGTTTCATTCAGTGAGAAAGAGAACAGTTACAGTGATCCGTTATCTACTCCCTTTTGTATTGGAAACCAGCAGTGCGATGCTGGGGGTCTTCAGTGCTAGGCTAGATAGGAGCTGAAAGCCATAATGCTGGAGGTGAAAGGAGCCTTCATATGAAGATGATGTTGATAGCTATGGTATAATTAATTATAATAATAATGGACTCAAGCTAAAACCATATACTTGCAGTAATAATTAATTGTGCTCTTAGCTTACGGTACATTTGGATTTTAGTATTGTGCATGTATTTTTATGAAACACCCTGTTGAGCATAACTATACATAGTGGCACAGTGTTTATGGCAATATTATATCCACATAGATATCATATTAGAGAAACTTGTAAGTGTGTGGAGCTCGAGAATAGGACAGAAGCAGCAAAAATATATTTTGAAGCTGTTGGAAGTGCATGTCTAAAATCCACAGCCATGGCTGATGACTGCAGATTTTAGACATGTGGGTGTGACATGTTGATTAATCATGCATAGCTGAAGAGGTAGGCGAGAAGAGAGTCACCTTAAAGGAAACATCTGAAAGATGCTTTCATAAGCCAGCGGTGGATTACTATTAATGTGATGGCTACTGACACAGTGTTGCAAATCTGCATCTTATGCAGCTATTGTGAGTGCGATAAAAAAGCTAACCTCAGTTTCTTCTTCTGGATGACGCATGTAATCTTTTGAAGAGAGTGCTGTGGTAAAATGTGGGAATTTGTCACAGTTTTGTCACTGTAAGTGCACTCTATCAGTGGCTTCCTCGTGTAGTCGTTACAGTACTCTGCCACTGTGGAAGATCATCTGAACCTGAGATATTTTTTTTTATCAACTAGACACAAGCAAGCATCTTGGGCACAGCACAGCACACACGCACCATGAATGGTATCTGCAGCAGCCCTGCTCGTTAGTCATCCTTTCCTGCATGTCTGTCTGAATGTTCTGTCCAAAAGAAAGAACAGCTGAGCAGGGGGACGGCCACAGCACATTCCACCAGCCGATGGATTAATCAATCGGTGTTCCAGCTCGGCCCATCCAGCTCAGCCCATCCATCTCAGCGAATAATCTGGGAGACATCATAAAAGTGCCATTCTATCATTCTAGAGGCCAGAGAGCATTGCTTCTTTTTTTCTGCCCCGGCTCCCACTCACATCGTGGGAACACTAGTAGACTGAATGAAATGTAGATAAGTGTACTCGGTGTGGCAACATTGCGCGGTGTTTTGAATCAACATAGATTCAAACATTTTTGCTACTGTGATTCGTGGCTAATAAAGAATTCTTTCAACTCCATCACAATTGCTCTGATTCGTTGCTTCCCTTGTAAAATTCAGCTATGAGCACTGACCTGAATTCAGGATGCGTCATTACTCACCGCTTGCCTTACATCACCCACCTTACCGGTCATGATGATGGTGTCTTTTCGACTTAGTAATCCTCACCTTCCTCTTCACTGCCAGTTTCTCTTTTCTTGACCTCACTGGAATGTCACATGCTACTAAAACGAGAGTGACAGCACCCGAGGTAGGAATGATGTGATGACTCGGTTAATAATATCTTGCTTAATAAGTACAGGGCAAACACAGACACATTCTTTCCCTCTTTCTTTCGCTGTCACACACATGCATGTGCACATGCACAGATACACACACTTCCACAGCAAATTAATATGTATGCACCACAGAGGAGTCATTCTTCCTGTCTTCAGGGCAACTGGGCAGTGTCTGTTTAAAGTGATACTGGCCCTGGCCTCCACTTTAATTCTTGCTCTTAAATTAAAAGGTTAAATGAGGTGGGAATGGGTGCCAGGCTATCTCTTTCTCCCTCATTTTACTTTTCTCCAGAATCTGCCTTATGGAGGTATGGATATCTAAGTATTGTTTAAAAAAAAAGAAGACAAAAATTAAATTGACGGCGGGTTACAAAAGAAGACATTTCCCCTCAAGTGCTGTTTCCTCAATCTTTTGCTGTTGACAGTGGAATTTAAGAGTGAGCTTTGTGTGCTGGGGGCTTCATACCCCCATAGTGCTCCAAACACTCAAAGTTAAAAACATTTGAACTGGAGATATGCCCTTCAAACAGGTTTTTAGTGGTCGCATAGCAACAGATCCATGACTAGCACATCCCAAGGCAGCTTCTAAGCTGTTAACTAAAACACAGGTTGTCAGCGGACACCAGCCTTTAGTGACAAAACTAAAATCTAAATTCGATATGGTCGGATGTTTTAAAATTAAACACCACAATTCTGTCTTTCTTCACTTTCTTAACAAGGTTTTGTAATATGCAGCCTGAATCCTGTTAGCATAATTAATCTGAAAGAGGATGACGAATGGTGGAAAAGCCATGTCTATAGGGTTGCAAGTGTTTAGCTTTAAACATATACTGTTTTTGAGATTAAAAAATATATATTTATTTGACGGCTCTCTGTGGATAGGATGATTTATTTTTTTGGATAGTGTTGTGTCCTTAGAAATAGCAAGCTTTATCTGCTGGGTAGATGCACAGATTTTGTATCTCACTCTCCAAGACGGCAAAAATAGCACCTAACTAGGGGCCCCTTATTTTTACCCTTATTGTAGTTTTTGGTGTCCCCAGGTGAAAGCATCAAAGCATAGGAAACCTGGAAAAAGAAAGCAATGACACAATAAAAGAAAAAAAAAGATTCAGCTGTTGGAACATAAATGACTTATATGGAAGAGAAAAAAATCTACAACAAAAAACTACAACACAGTGCCCAAACAAGCAACAACA